CAGCCGACCACGCCGGGTCGTTCTTAGCACCCATATGGTCCGAACAGGCTTATCAAGACCGCTGATCACTCCTGTGACACAGCCAGTGACACCGTGACACGGTCAGTGACACCTTCAGCGACACCGCTACTGACACAAAGACGGAGTTACTGCGGTGACCGGGAGAGAGAAACGCCCTGAGAATGGGTAGAGGAACGGAGGAATGGACAGAGAGGTGGAGTAAACGGGAGGATTGATGGGAAGAGCATGAATGCTGAGTGGGAGGAATGTACCGAGGACAGAGGAAGGGGGAGAACGGTCGTGATAGGTATAAACAGTTGGAGAGAAGCAGAAGCCAGAAGTAGATGAGAGGAGGGAAGGTCATGAGTGGAGCAATTGTCCGGGGAAGTTGTTGGGGCAAAAAGGCATTAAACCTACGCTGTCCGATTGTCAAGTTGAATAAAATGAACACTGAATCAATTCTTATCATTGCAAATGTAATATTTTGCATAACACAGACATTCCAAAGCTCCTCAATCATCAATGATTGATTTGCAAAGCAACAAAATCCTAAAAATCAGCTACAGTTGGTGGGGGAAAACACTATTGGTGGGGCAAAATGGCAAGTTGGTGGGGCAGCCGCTCCCGGCTCCACCAACTGTATAGGAAGCTCCGCCTCTGGTATAGATGCAGAGACGAGGAGAGACCGGACAATTGTATTTGGAGGGAAAAGGTGAAGATGTAGGGAAAAAGGAGTAGCAAAGAGTATGTACAGAAAAGAACAGACCATAAACAGCAGAATGAGACAGAAAAGGACGACGTTGCAAATGCAACAGAAATATTGTGTCCTGAAAAAAGGGAGAAGGCTCCGAAAACATGAAATGTGCACAATGTAGGTAAAATATGTTCAATGTGTCTATTATATCTATTTTTATACATAAATAAGATATGATAAGAAAAATATTGTGCATAATATTTATATAATGTAATAATAATTTTTGTAGGCAAGCCAGGGCACTGGATGTCCAGATTTCCTCCTCGCTGAGTATTAAGGGCACTGGATGGGGTGGAAGCGGAACTCACTCTATATCCAGGGCTGTGAATGTCCATATTTTCTCACTAATGATCCTGGAGGCAGTGTGTCGGCTCATGCACGACATAGATAACATACCGTAGCGTGATTAGGGGTAATACATTTATCAGCGTGGTCTGTAGGTTGTAGCTCACTGATACAATGGCAGCAGTCAGTTCATATTCTACCGCATGATTACTGGTCTTGTAATTCTCATTTGTCCATCATTCAGGCATGTAATCATGGATCTTAGGGTGCCAAAGGTCAGGGCAGTGTCACTGAAGTTAATTGATGTGCTAATCTCGAAATTTATGTGACGGTAACTTGTATTCATTGACGTTTCCGGTGAGAGATGCCAAGTACAGTTGTCTACTGGCGCATAAACTGCAGTGCATGTAGCTACCGGGTTAGTGAGTCTGCATATTTGTCCGTTCTCAGGTCAATAATGAAACATTCTGGTCTCCATTTATCTTACTTAGTTTGCATAAAAAACTTTCAAAAGTCAAATGGTATTGACCTTAAACTCTTTGAAAGTTATTTTGTTTTATTGAACGATGTCATTTTGATTAGAACATCTATGCTTGCAATACAATAGATGCATGCTAGTTGATTTGTTGATTGGAACTGAAATTTCCGATTCTGTTGAATTCAAATTATAATTCGCTTGGTAGGTAAATAGTTGCAGATCTGTTTAACACATTTGAAATTCTTATTTCGTTACCCTTTCTCCAACCACTGTCCACTATGCATGTCCCAGTCGACCCAGTCCCACCTCTCTGCCCCATTTGTCCCTATTACCCCGTCCCTCCATGACCCGTCCGGAGAGGTGTCCACCGCCCGTCCCTCCGGCCGGGGAAATTTGTCGGCCACTCCACCCGTCTAATGAGTCTGTCACTCGCTGACGGCCCAGCGCGTCCCATTTCACACTGACCCCCAGTCAAACGGCAAAAACCACCGCGAGAGCGTGCAGCAGCGTGCCACCACTTCTTCTGAGCCGGCCGGTCTCCTCACGCCTGATACACGCCATCAATATTCACATTTATCCGGCGCCCGGCTTTTTGTCGGAAATTTCGCCATTAGCAATATTTAGCTAGCCACGGGAGGGTTCATTTCACTTCATAAAACAACATCTTCATCACGAGTGGGACGGACGGCTCGAGTGGCGTGCAGGAATAATATAAACACGCCCCGCCATAATTGAAATCCATTACTTTAGAGCTGAGCTCGGCGCCGGCTGGGGGCGTGGGGAGCTGTCGCCAGCACGTTCCTCGCGGCTGACGCCTCTGAGTCGGCTCAGCTCAGCTCAATCAGGCATCAGCTCAGCTGAGCTCGGCTCCGCTGTCGGCGGTGGTCCGATCAGGCTCCGCCAGGCGGCGCCAGCGCCGCGGTTGCAGTGCGGCTTCGACGGCGGGTCCAGGTGCAACGGCCGACCCTTCACTACCACGGGCTCTGAGTGCAGCTCGCAACGGTAGTGACCCCGCTCCGAGCAGTGTTCAGAACCCAGCTAGCGACGAAAAGGACTCACCACGTCCTCTCCCTTCGCCAGGATCGTCGCCTCACTGCTTAGTTCGCCATGGACGTCACAGCGCGTTCGAGTGCGCACGGTTTGCCACTGTCTCACGGCTTAGCCTATGGAAATCAGCGGCTCGGCCGAGCATTCCAGCTATATTAACACATCAGGGCGGCCGAGCGCGCGCCGGTTTTTGCCGCCTCGCCCGGGGAAAGTGTCACCTCCTCTCCCACCATTGACCCTTTTCTTGCCGTCCGTGCCAGCCAGCGCCGTGCCATGGCGCCGGGATGATTTTCGAGGCATTCCCTCTTCATAAAGGCGACAGCGGACGCGGCCGTCTTTCTCTAGCTCACCGGGAGGACCGGTACTAAATCTGGCCGCCCGCCGGGTGCTCCAGCAAATAGAATAGAGAATAAACAAAGCGGTCTGGGCGCGCGCCAGGTTAACTGGCCGGTGAGCGATGTCGGCGCGGCGCGGCGCGGCGGCCAGCCATTACCGTCCGCTCCTCGGCCGGCCGCCACTCTGAATCGCGCCTAATCGGCAGACACATGCGCGCCGCCAAATAATGGCGATAAAAACCACCCAGCCGTCGGCGGCCGCGCCGGAATGCGGCGACTGCGGCGCGGGGCGCCACAACCGCCGCGGCTGACCGCAATGGCCGCGCGGCACGGCCGGAAGCGGCACACTGCAGTGCAGTGCAGTGCAGTGTGCAGACCCGCGGCAGTACCCCGGTGATCAGCACTGCCGCTGACCGGTTCCACCTCCCGCCGCGCGCCGCGCAGCCGCCGACCGCGCCGGCAATATATTCAGCGGCGGCAATAAATATTCCTATTAGATGACGCGACGCTATTCGGAAATGACTGCTAACATCCCTCCTTCTGGATATCAAATTAATGGTAATGAGGCAGACGAACAGCGCTCGGGACAGGCGGCCGTGCAGGCCCAGCCGCCCGGCGCTATTTATCTGGAAATAAATATCGGCGCCGTCCTGTGGGCTGGCATGTTTTTGCGCGCGCCACCACGGGACGTCGCCGAAGCCGCGCGACGCCCGTTGTTATATAAATTGCTCGACACCTGAATATTTCACGGCCGGCCCGGCTGATGTCTCTGTTATCGGTGCACATCGCCGCGGCGCGGGATAAGCTGTCATTTATTCCGGCAGGTTAGCCGGGCGTCAAGAGCCGCACCCGTCGAGGAGGGCTGGTGCGGTGCTGGGGACGGGCACGGGGTGAAAAAAACGGCCCCACACCGCCCGGGAGGAGAGAAAGAGAGAGAGAGAGAGAGAGAGAGAGAGAGAGAGAGAGAGAGAGAGAGAGAGAGAGAGAGAGAGAGAGAGTTTAGATCTCTCTAAACTAATGCATCCTTATGTTCACACATATTCCAAATTCCGGGATGGGTGGACTTTAGCGTATTTCGTCTTTCGGTGGACTTGAAAACTACGCATGCTGGGAGGATGACTTTTAGATGGCAGCACACGTCAGGTAGGTAGCAAGAAAATATCAACTGGCCGCTGTCCTATGCCGGTTAGTTTTGATGTGGTAGCCGGTCGAATTTGGGTGCAAAAAAGCGTTTCGGTGGACTGTACTTTTAGGTGGACATATTTTTTTTTGTCTTGAGATAACGGTATAAGTGGACATTTTTTTTTTGCTTTGAAATGTAGTGCATAGGTGGACGTACATTTTTGTTTTTAAATTGCACTTTAAGTTGACATATTTTTTACGTGCTTTATTACAAGCGAGCCAGCGGAGCGAGCGAAGCAAGCTTTCGTAGAATGGCGGAAAATTCTGAGTACCTATGAGCAACTTGGCAATGTATTTCAATGCGTCAACGACCAACGTTGAAGTGTACTACACGTGCGCACGTGGAGGGTGCCGCTTCCAGATCTCAGGAACGGCTGGACCGATTGTGCTCAGATTTGATACACCGATAGCGACCGGTTGGCAGGGTGCCGTGCAAAAGTCAGTTGGAAATACCCCCACTCAGTTTCGCACTTGCAGGGCTCATCCTTTTGCTCGCTCGCGTATCGCCCCGAAAGGCGTCTTACTGGTTCATTAACCCGCTCGGCGTTTTCACGCCCCCCCCCCCCAGGTTTTCGCTGACATCTCAAAAACGGTTTGGTACAGCTTATTATACGTCTTTTCCGTACAGGCTTTGAAAATTTTAGCTCCAGGTCATCAAAGGTCAGGTCACCAGGTCAAGTTAAGTGACCCAACCCCCGAAAATAAATTCAAACACGCGCCCTGACCATAAGATACACGGCCCCACGGCCCCAGAGTTGGGGGGGGGGGGGCAAGCTGCCCCTACTGCCCCCTCCCCGGTTCCCGCGCCTATGTTTGAGGTCACATTATTCATCATTCGACGCGTCTTGATGAGAGAAATGCAATGGTGTTTGAAATGTAGACGGGTCCCGCCTCGCCAACCCGGCTCCGACACACAACCTTCACAGACGAGCTTGTATTCCACAACCGCCGCTCGCGCCGGCCAACCAGGACTCTCTGAACATGCGAGCGACAACAAACCGAAGAGACATCGGAAATTAAGGTACTAGGGCTGCAACTAAACAGAAAATAAAGGAACAGCGCCGTAAGTTATTATGACAATATAAAATAAATACTTAAGTGACGTGAATTAATCAGATATAAAATCGGACAAGTGACATCGCAGAAAACAATAAGAAACAGAAGAGAAGCCGGTACGAAATCAAACGGTGCGAATAAATCGACCGACTATACCCGACCCTCTTAACGAAAAGAAGCGAACATCGGCAACAAGCAACATTAAATTCGGAGATAGCACATATCAAAAGGCAGAAGGCGACGCAACACAACGGCGCGTGGCACTCCGTCCGAGCGCGGCACTCAGGCCACGGCAGTGAGCGGCACTCATGGCAGAGCGCAGCAATCACCACGCTGCGCGCGGCAGCCACCGTCCGAATACGGCACGCTCAACAGCGCGGCGCGCGGCACCCACCGCGTACGCAGCGCTCGGCAAAATCACTGCACAGTGCGCGGCGCCATCACTGCAGCGCACGGCATCGCGCAGGTCGCGGCACCCTCGCCGCGGCCACGATCACGGGACCACGGAGGGCCCAGCCACGGGAAGCACGGCCGCAGAGCACGACCGCAGAGCACGGCCGCAGAGCACGGCCGCTGGCAGCTCGGCCGCGGAGCTCAGCAGCGGGCAGCTTGGCCGCAGACGTCGCAACCGTGGAGCACGGCCGCGGACAGCACAGCCACGACAAAACTGTGAACAGAACGCATGAAAATAACCATGTCCTTTAGCACCGCTCAGCACTCCATTGAGACCACGCTGGACAGATTCGCCGATTTGAGGCGCTGGATGGCTGCATGCCATGTCGATCGGCGCGTTCCGTCAACAGAACAGCCAGACGGGCGTCCCCAACCAGCTTGCCACGACATTACTAAACAATTCGCCAGCAACGACCACAGCAAAATCGCAGTAAAAATTATCAGTTAGCAGCTGATCACGCGGCTCACATCACAAACGATGCACGATGAACACATATTTACAAAGACCTTAATTAGGGACAGAATCGGTTAGGCGGTCTCGACGCTCTCTCAGAGCACTGCAGGGCCGGCACCGGAGCTACTGACCTCTGTGCGTCGGTAGACACAGCAGCAGCTTGCCAGCCAGGAACCTCCCGGGCAGCGTCGACCACGCCAGACGGCGCAGGACTCGCCGGAGGAAACTCGTCGCCGGCGGGGTCGGCGGGAGCCGCGAATCGTTCGGCCCCCAATGGCGAGACCGCGACATGTACGAGTCGCCGCCCAGCGCCGCATACCGCGGCGGCGACGGAGACCGCGGACACGGCGGCTGTGCGCCATCGTCAGAGCCGGGCGACATCACTGCAGATCTGGGGACTGACGTGTCCGGGGCCGCGACTGGCGGCCCCGTCTGGGGTGCGCGTGGGCAACGACGGGCCGTATGGTTGCCCGTGTCAGTCATGAACACGTGACTCGGAGATAAGGTGAGGCGGGTATGGCGCTCAGCGCAGCCTTCGTCGGCTAAATGTGGACGCCATTCGACTACTGCGCCGCCATCGTCGGACTTACGCTGCGACACCCTGCTCGCCTGGGCCTACTTCCCTCCACTGGGACTGCTGGTGAAACAGCTAACCGGTGTTTAGTCAGTCAGTTCAGAGTCAGCCACTCGCCAAGGAGCTCTAACTCGCAACAACTACTCGCACTCCCATTACGAGAGGCGCAGTTCTGATTCGTGGTCGGTTCGTGGTCGTCAGGAATATCTACAAGCATCGTGCACGTGCGGCTCTTTTTCAGACGGCCAGTTCGTATATCGGAACTTAACGTTCAAAACAAGATATGTACTCCGTAACGGGAATGGTATATATGAACATCACAAATAGCACATAGCAATGCCAGTGACAAACATCTCTGGGCAAGCCGGTTTCGCGGAAACTCAAACCAGTGGCGGCATTCCGGTGACATCGCCGGACCTCGGTGCGGCAATGAACAATCAGTGACAATGGCCAACAATCAGTGACAATGGCCCGGCGCGGCCGTCCATTCGGCCAGCCACGCGGCTCCTCCCTACCTCCCTCAGATCGGCCGGCCTGGCCTGGTCCGGAGGGATGGGCGGGCGGCGCCCTCGGTCCACCTGTCCGTCACCGGAGCGTCAGGGCAGCGCGGCCAATTGAACGCTACGCCGGTGTCGCCGCGTTGGCCGAAAATCCATCACACTTGTGGCGTGTGCCAGTCGTCCGTAGCGGCGCGGCGGCCGACTCGCACGGCGGCGGCCGGGGCCGGCGGCGGCCCCGTCCGTTTAACGGAAAGTTACGCGAAACACTAATGCTAAAAACGGAGGAATCAGTGCAGAGCTTGCCATTCGCATTCTTGCACCACTGCTGGGTCAATGTGCATGCCTGTGAATCAAGAGATATAATATCAACGTTTGTTCCAGAACACATCTTTCCATTCATGTAGAACGGATCATAGAGGTCTTATATACATAGAGATGCCCTGACGCTTATTATCCTGCCGTTTCATTGGAGGAATTCAAGTTAGGGAATGTGAGCTGAAACATCGTGCGAGCTTGATTTCACGACTTTTAACTGACAAATTTAGCTTTACTTTGGATTTATTTCCCCGAAGGAGGTTTCCGAAAACGAAATAGGGTACGACTTTACTGAAATATTTTGACGACAGTGATGGTCGATGACCTTTGAACATCTCATTTTACTCGTTTTCTACCAAGGAGAATGCTGATACCATCGATCACGAGTGTAAAGCAGTCAGACGGCAGAAAATAAAGTGTTTCGACATTGGATGGGCATCTTCATGTAGATAAAATATCTATGGAACGAATGACTTAGAGATAATGCAGGCAATTACACCAGAACAAGAGACACAAAGTAAACAAGCTGATAATTATTCACTGGACCCACCAACGATAAATTCACAACCAGATTGACTAACCAGTCACACTAACGCCTTGACATACCTAGAATGTACTGTACATTGCAACCCGGGTCACATTTTGTTATACGATCTACAAGTTCCGATGATGAAGTTCGTTCAGCATGTGAATTCAACTACGCAATTTAACCCTCGCCCGCACATGCCACTTTCCCATCCTAGAACGCACATGGGGGGGGGGGGGGGGTTGCCACCCCCGCGCCATTTCGTTCCTGCTGGAGATAGAGCTTCGCGGTAAAGACTAAAAGATTTTTTTGGGAAGAGACGAATCCAATGATACACAGTTTTACCTTCTCAGGTCAGTCAGTGACCTTCCAGGTCAGGTCAAACAAAAAATGTTGCTGTTTGGGGTCACCGTTGGATATCAAGTGCGCTGCTTATCATATACCGATGACGCTGACGTATTGTGGTGCCAAGCCAGCAAGAACCTCTTTGTTACACTATCCGACTAGGTTTTGGCTGGCTGAGGCCATTTCAGGTCAAGTTAGGTCAAGGTCACTGATATGTGTTTGTATGTCTGTGGGTTTGTGTGTCTGTACAACCTAGGTCATCTAAAAACATTGCGTTTTAGGCAAGCTGAATTTACTTTTCGTGAAGTTCTTTGACTGTATTTTTGGTAAATGTTCGAGAGAAAACGTACTGTGCCGTGGAGGAGACGGCAGCGATCGGCGGGCTCAGCCGAGCCTCGCCGCCCACGTGGTGTACTGGGGCCCGCGTGGTCATCTGGGGCACATGTGTGCGATGACCGGCCCGACGCGCCGGGCCGGCCGCCGCCGGCCGGCTCGGCAGTTCGCGACGCGACGACGACGGCGACGCGGCTCCGCCGGCGCAACGGCGACGGCGTCGTACGATACGATTAACGTGCATTGTGTGGTGAATATTCAAGAAATAGACATTCACCAAAGAACTCTTTTGGTCCTCCAGTTAATGAAACGATTCGATCAGATACGCAATTATTAGTGAACTCGACGATTACACGAACACTTTGGTCTGCCGTGCTGGATCAGAGTGAACGATCACGATTCACACGAACATTTTGGTCCTCCGGGCCGGATGTATGTGAACTAGTGAGTGAATGGACGTACAGTCCGGACGCGAGTGCAGTGAAGGAGTGATGTCAGACGCAAAATCCGACGCGAAATCGAACGCCAGGTCGGACGCAAGGGCGGTCGCACAGTGTGACGCGAAATCTACGCGCAGCTCGCGGACATGCCATACCCGCAGCGAGACCTTCGGCAGCGCAGCGTCGTCCACCATCAGCGCAGCCCGCCGCCGAGCCGCGCTGAGCAAACTCGCAGCGGAGCAGGGCCAGCGAGCGGCCGCAGCAAAGGTGGAGCTGGCACGGCAAGAGGCGGAGACGCAGGCGGAGCGGGCGCGTCGCGAGGCGGAGACGCAGGCGGAGCGGGCACGGCAGGAGGCGGAGACGCAGGCGGAGCGGGCGCGGTAAGAGGCGGAACTGGCACGACAGCGGGCAGCTCTCGAAGCTCAACAGCTCGCCGACGAAGCGGAACGCCGTCAGCTGGAGCTGGAGCTGCTCGAGGAGGAGGAGTATGATCACCAGCCATCTGCCGTCGACCGTCAGGCTCTAGCTCGGCCTGCTGCCGCAGCTCCAAGTGAGCCAGCCGCCCAGCTGCGTGAGCCGCTGCAGCCGGGTGACAGGTCCTCACGCACCCGGGACTGGGTGGAGCAGTCCTCCCAGTACGGACAACTGGTGAGCGCGCAGCCATACGACGACCGTCACCAGCAGGAAGCACGACGTCCGCTACAGCCCGTGAGACAGCAAACGACTCCACAGCTGCCTCGAGTGACCCTGGATAAGTTCAGCGGCTCCGCTCTGGAATGGCCGAGATGGATCGCGCTGTTCAGGGCTCTAGTGCACGATCGAGACGACCTGACTGACGTCGAGCGCCTGACCTATCTCCAGGCTCATCTCACCGGGCCGGCCAAGGAATCAGTGCGCGGTATGTTGTGCGACTCTTCTCTGTACGGTGAGGCTATGCGTGAGCTAGAGGAGGAGTTCGGTGACCCTGCACGGGTCATTCACGCGACGATGAAAAACTGCTCGATTCGCGGCCGGTGAAAGATGGTGATATGTCGGCTGTGACAGAGCTGTCACGTGACCTTCGCACCGCGGTTCGTGTGCTACAGTGCCTTCACTACGACGCGGACATCTCGGCTGCCACCAATGTAACAGCCGTGATCTCCAAGCTTCCTGCTGCGCTGGCTTTGAAATGGGGCGAGCACTCTGTGCACAACGGACTCGTCCGCCCCACGCTCCCCGACCTGGACAGCTGGCTGCGCGGCTACGTGGCTGCTGGGCGTGCGTCCCTGACCCTGACGGGCCACCAGCAATCCAAGGCCGAGGTCAACAGTGGGGAGAGCCGGCAGCGGCGTGTTTACGCGACTGCGCTAGCGCCGGCCGCGCCCCGAGAGGTCGTAAAACAGAAAATTAGTGCAATAAAGGCAGCGCCGGTCGCGAGTGAGGACGCATGTGTATTCTGTCAGGGGACACACGTCGTAGAGCGCTGTGACAGGTTCCTACAGCTGACAGCGAGCGAGAGAGCAGAGGTTGCCGGTTGTAACGGACTCTGCTTCAATTGTCTCGCGCGAGGTCACATCAGCGCCGCGTGCCCGTCCGGTACAAACTGTGGACACGAGAACTGTGGAAAACGTCACCACACGCTTCTGCACAACGGAGGCCGTGTGTTTCCACGGCGCAGTGCTGCCGGCAGCGCGCCGTCACCAGTGAAACATGTCGGCACTGCGGTGGTCGAGCCACCCTGTAAGGTGCTGCTGCAGACACTGCCGATAACGGTGCATGGTCCTGCTGGGCGCTGCACGACCCACGCGCTTCTCGACCTCGGGAGCCAGGTAACGCTGGTGACCGAAGGCCTGAGCGACCGTCTCGGCATCTCTGGACCCATTGACAGTTCGGTCCTGAGTACCATAAACGGAAGTGAAACTCAGATCATGCCGTGTGTCCTTCGTGATCGAGCCTGTCAGCAGCGGTGGCACACGTCACGAAATACGGAACGCCCAAACGACGCCGACGCTGAGTGTGTCAAATCACGCCATGGACTGGTCACGGGAGAAGGGCAAATGGCCTCATCTCGCTGACCTGGATCTGCCGAGTGCGACTCGAGGTCCAGTAGAAGTACTTCTGGGCGCTGACGTCATAGAACTGATCGTGGCACGTGAGGTGATCGACGGACCACCGGGTGCGCCGTGCGCCGTGAGAACACTGCTCGGCTGGACGGTCACCGGCCGCGCGCCGTACCAGAACCTGCCAGTCAACAAGGACGTGCACCATATCCGTGTCAGCGAGGAAACCCAGGACGCTTCGGAAGTGACTCGATGGCAAAACGTGCCAGGGTCACTGAACTCATCGAACATAGGCAGCCGAGGCTGCTCGGTGGCTGAGGTGGCACCGGGCGAAGAGTGGGGCCAAGGTCGCGCCGTCCTGTCGCGCCGTCCTCAGGACCGGCCCGCCGCGCCGCCCCGCCCGACAGAGCGCCCGAGAGACGAGGAAACGGCCGAAATGAGAGCACCAGCCTGCGTCATCAGGGGAGCTGAGCCGGCCATAAACCCCAGCCGGTTCTCATCGTGGCTCAGGCTGCTGCGTGTGACAGCGTGGGTGCGCAGGTTCGCTTACAACAGCCGCAGCCGGGCAGCAGCTGATCGGCGGACGGGACCGCTGACTGCTGAAGAGCTGAGAGAAGCTGAGCGCGTCTGGCTGCTCAGCACACAGGCCGAGCATTTCGGCGATGATATCGCCGCTCTCCAGCACGGAAGGCGGCTTCCCCCGAACAGCCAGCTGCACCGGCTTAACCCCTTCCTGGACTCGAGCGGCCTTCTAAGAGTCGGGGGCCAGCTGCGCCACGCTCAGCTAGACTTCAAGGTCAAGCACCGGGTGATTCTACCTGCACGCGGAGACATCACTCGGCTGATAGTCACCGATCGACACAAGAAGCTCTCCCATTCTGGCGCAGAGCACGTTTTGACTCACCTGCGGCACCAATTCTGGGTCATCAGTGGCAGGGCCGCTGCGGAGCGGTACACACCTGCCTGCATGCCGTGCCGGAAACGGTCAGCCCAGCCAGCGCCGACGCCGACGAGTGACCTACAGCCTTCCAAGTGGGCAAGCCGGCCCCGGGCCGCACCTCCGGACGCTCACCACACGGGTGAAGTGACGCGCAGACCCGGCAGACGTGCAGCTCGACGAATTAGCGCTGGTGACAAAGGACAACCTGCCTCGCGGGCACTGGCTATTGGAGCGAGTGGTGACCGTGTTCCCTGGCGCCGACAGCCGAGTGCAGGTGGTCAAAGTGTTAGTGGCCACCGCCACTGGTCGGAAATTCGGAATAGGCGGTCGGTCTCTGGTCTCTGCCGTCTCGAGCGCGACGGTGACGGACAGTAAATGGACTCAGAGTGGTAATGTGCGCGTGTGAGACGACTGAGGTGAGTCGTTTACGACCCCTCTGTGCCGCCGGCGAGTAGTGTCGGAGTCTGGCCATCTATTAGTGTTTACTGCGTCCGCCATTCGCGGTGTTAACGTGTGCGTGTGCGAGAATGAGTCGTTCATTCTGTGCGCCGGTCATTTGTGTTTGGTGTTTAGCCATTAGCCAACAGCTGTGAGCCGTCCGACAGTCGCCAGCGTTCACACTGTCGCAGTGTCGCTCCTGGCTCATTTAGCCGGTTGGTCTTGTACGAGTTAGAAGTTTACAGCCTTAGAGTGTAGCAGCCTTAGATCGGGACCGACGCGCGGCGCAGCCGACGTAGTTTACAGTCTTAGCTTTAGTGGTCGTTTATTGCTGTACGATACAGACAGAGACACTGCCTGCGAGCAGCTGTTTGTTGTTTCGCTAATGTTTTCTCTCTTACGTTTAGAATTTCCGCGAGCGAGGCGAAAATTCGGGCCGGCCATGTTTGAGAGAAAACGTACTGTGCCGTGGAGGAGACGGCAGCGATCGGCGGGCTCAGCCGAGCCTCGCCGCCCACGTGGTGTACTGGGGCCCGCGTGGTCATCTGGGGCACATGTGTGCGATGACCGGCCCGACGCCGGCCGGCTCGGCAGTTCGCGACGCGACGACGACGGCGACGCGGCTCCGCCGGCGCAACGGCGCCGGCGTCGTACGATACGATTAACGTGCATTGTGTGGTGAATATTCAAGAAATAGACATTCACCAAAGAACTCTTTTGGTCCTCCGGTTAATGAAACGATTCGATCAGATACGCAATTATTAGTGAACTTGACGATTACACGAACACTTTGGTCTGCCGTGCTGGATCAGAGTGAACGATCACGATTCACACGAACAGTAAAAGTTTCTCATTTCATGATCTAATTTAATAGGGACACATAAACAATCAGTGCACTTATCAGTATAGTATTAACCTTAAGTATTTACCTTAAGTAAAGGTCACGAAGGTGAAAACAAACTATGACAAGCGTTATGAAGCATCAGATCAATAAGATCGTGTACCTGTGCCGAGCTGTGCCAGGTCCTGTGCGGTGGCGGTGAGCTGCTGGTCAAGTGCTCCTGCTGGCGTCAGGAACCGTAGCGCCTACTTGACGTCGGAGCCGGCTGCCTGTTGGCCGTGGCCGAGCAGGTGGGTCGCTGACACGGCCAGCCGTAGCGCCGACTGCATTTGACGCTCCTGGCGGCCACACAGACAAAACACATGACCCAACACAGTGATAGGGCACACGAGGACCGCTGGTGGCAGTGTGACAGAGCAACACAAACCGAAAGTACACAACAGAAAGTACTAAGGATAAATATCTCGATACCTTACGAACTGCGGACAGTGTTACTGGGCCGCAACTATTGTATGTAAATCAGATGTGTTACAGTTACGGAGATAAGAACGCTTCTGAATAAACAAGCCGCAGCACTTGATGCCTCGGGTCGAAAATCGTCGCGTCGAAAAGGGCCCTCACTTAAATTTCACTTTTCATTCCACGGGCTGCGCGGGTGTAGTGGACAAGGCCACGCATGCTGGTGTACATGCTAGGATTTGACATGCGGTGCACATCTGTTTTGAAGCACAGAACGACAATAATTAAAGCGGACATGTATGGGGCCGACCCGAAAAACACGGTGACATCCAGCTCAATTGTGCTTGCTTTAGCGTTTACAATTACATGTATTTCCTGAGAATGGTAAAATTAATAAATAAGAACAACCGGTAATTACCAACAAGCTATTTATGCGTTATTCAGACAAATTAGTATTCTGAATGGTAAATGGTACTGACCTTCAGCATCATCGTCGAGATTGGCTCCAAGCGTTTCTTCGGTAGACAGTAGAAGTTTCGCTATTTTCGCGAGTTCTACTGTGCTGTCCGGTAGGCGATAGTATTTTCTGTGAACGGTTATATCGTGTCCGAGGTGTGAGGCAATCTGATCCATTTCATTTTCTGATAGGTTCATGATCTGGGCGATCGTGGCTAGATATTTGCGCATATTTGTTGAAGTGATGGCGTTTATGTCTCGGCAACCAGCATCTCTGCATTCTTTCTTCAGCTGATACCACCCGTTTACGAGTCTTCCTTCCGGAGCCTTTGAGAAGAGCGCCTCTTCTGGTACACTATCACGCAGACCCACCGACTCACGGAGAGAAACCAGAAGATCGATCGCCCGTTTCTCCATCTGTGGTATGAGAACCGGCACAGTCCTTCCACGTTTGCCACGCGTTTTGATCAGGCACATCTTGTCCATGATCTGTTCTCCAAGTCTGATAGCGAATTGACGACTGTCTCGTTTTGGGTGTACGCCGCTCTTGAAGTGTAATCACGGACACGAATCTTCATGGACTCTCCACCTCTACGTTTGTTGAACACCATGAGGCTGACGGCTGTTACGCACGCCAAGGTGTTGTATGACTTGACGCTAGGCTTTCTACTCACAGACTCCATCGTGGATGCCAGTTTGGTCTGAAGGTGGTTCTGTAGCCGTTTCATATCTTCGGTGGTTGGCAGCTGTTTCTCTGCGTTCTGTTTTCTCAATTCAATGTTTCGAGTGAGGCGCGCCCCATTTTATCGCCCCATTCGTTTTCTAGCAGTCTCTTGAAGATGGAGATTCGGTTCTGCATCTCCGTGTTTCCTTCTCGCATACTGACGCCCAGTAGTACATGGCAAACCTTCCCCAACGCAGTTCCCACTGTTCTTGGCACAGTAGGCACTAGGAACGTTGGTGGGGTCAGCTTAGTGCCTTCCCTGTATCCCGCTGCTTGCTTTGTCACATGCACAATGTCGTCAAAGTATCGAGCGTCACAAAGCTCATCCATAGTGAGGTTTGGCTGACTCTTCCTGTCCGTACATCTAGGAGAACTTTGGCTAGTTTGGTCACTCTGGTTTTTATTGGCTTCAAGTGGTTTTCGTTTTTTCCTTTGCTTTCTACGGTGTAGTTGGCATATGCCACCAACGTTCTGTCGCCACAAACTACGTCCCTTATAGCTTTGTCTCGTATCTCCCTTACGAACTCAGGTACGTCTCCTGGATCAAACCTGCGCAGCAGGTTTCCGCCTTGGTGGTGATCATTGCGTTGTCCAGACTGTCCATGTTGTCTGCAGGACAAACTGGATGATGCTGCTGCAGGTCCTCACGCAACATAAACGCCAGGCATCCAGGACATGGCAGGAACTTGGTGACTGGTATGTCGGGCTTCTTGGGTCTCCTCTTCAACATAAGTTCCCCTTTCCAGCTTCCAGTACTTCCAAGTTGTGCTCAAAGTTACCCCGGCTGATAAGAAGGGAAAACTTTCTGTCCTGTTGATCAGCTGTCCCCGTCATGGCATGCGCCACTTGCTGTTTGTCTGAATGTTTTGTTTTCAAATGGCGGCGCATTTTCTGTTTGATTTTCTTTTTACAAAACAGGCATGAGTTTATTGTATCGTACGTTTTAGCAGTAGGCGACACTCTATAAAAGACACCATGACTGGGGGATCCTTCCAGGTGAGGTTCATCCTCGCGAGATGTACTCGCTGTCGGTACATTCACTGCAGGTTGGGTCGTCAAAGTATCTGCAGCGGGTGCGGGTGCGGCAGGTGCGGCAGAAGCGTCTGCAGCTGCGGGTGCGGGTGGCAAGAGGGCGTCCGCAGATGCTCCCGCGACAGGTGAGTAGGTGGCGTGTGACTGCAGTGATGGGTTCGAATCTGCGTGATCGGGTGAATTGGGAAGAATCTCACCTCTCACTTCAGGAAATATTTCACACACTTCGTCGAGGGACCACGTCCGGTCAAGCATGTCAGCAGACTCGTTGCTGGGAGGCATCCAGTCAGGATCAGAGTCTGTGTCTGACACCACGTCATCCAGTCTGTCATCATTGGAATCATTTTGTACACGTATCGTGGGGAGAACTTGCGCAACCTTGTTAAATGACGACATGTTTTCACGCGTGGCCACCATCCGATTTCTGTGCCGCTGTAGCGGAGGCGTTCGCATTTCAATCAAAGGTGCGTCCTCTGCAGGTTCATTTGCAGCGGGCGAGTGTGCTGGTCTGTCTGCAGCGGGTGCGTCTGCAGCTGATGCTCCCGCCACCGTTTTGTCCAGGTCCAGTTGTAGGTGAGCGCCAGCAGAGTCCGGTACAGGTGCGTCTGCAGCTGATGCTCCCGCCACCGTTTTGTCCAGGTCCAGTTGTAGGTGAGCGCCAGCAGAGTCCGGTACAGGTGCGTCTGCAGCTGATGCTCCCGCCACCGTTTTGTCCAGGTCCAGTTGTAGGTGAGCGCCAGCAGAGTCCGGTACAGGTTCGTCTGCAGCTGATGCTCCCGCCACCGTTTTGTCCAGGTCCAGTTGTAGGTGAGCGCCAGCAGAGTCCGGTACAGGTGCGTCTGCAGCTGATGCTCCCGCCACCGTTTTGTCCAGGTCCAGTTGTAGGTGAGCGCCAGCAGAGTCCGGTACAGGTGCGTCTGCAGCTGATGCTCCCGCCACCGTTTTGTCCAGGTCCAGTTGTAGGTGAGCGCCAGCAGAGTCCGGTACAGGAATGCCGAGGTTTTCTGGAAGACGCAAAACATTAACAATAAAAACAAAGGCCAATTTTAGTGTTACTGCACAAAGCCTTAAAAAAATGTATAATGAGTGGCATCCGAACCAGCCTTTCACCGTGGGGATACATATAAGCACAGTGTACCAAAATCATATTTTTGCTTGGGTGTCAGAGGGGAAAATTGCTGACCAAAAAAAGGATGAAAGTGAAAATTGTCGGTCAGGTAAGGCCCAAAAAGAGTGGGAAAATGATCAAAAACATTAATCTATCTACAACTGTGACAGATGTAAAACAACCATTCCCGCAATTGCTCCTTCTCGGTGGGATTGGGAGTGGAAAATTGGGCTTGAAAACTGGAGGTGAGAGTGGAAAATGATCTGCATTTCGATGTCGTTTCCCACCCACATCTACAAATTTTGGGACACTGTATAAGCAAATTCTGGTTTCGAAGTTATGACCCTGTAATATGACAGACTTCCTCTTTTTAGGATCTGACCAAAGCAGTTAACGTTCGCAGGACGCTTTTCTGCATTAAATCGTTCTACATTATATTGACATCATTCTTTCTGCATCATACTTGCATTGGTACAGTTACACCAGTCAGTCAGGAAGGTCGCCCACCAAAACGTAATAGACAGCTCCGGGACAGGTACCACTACCAGGCCTAAACTGCTGCGTTTCATAACTACTAAAACAGTTTACAAAGAGCCATCTATACCGTTCAGACTTAACCCGCGCCCGTAGGTCTATCGGCGGAACTTACCCACCCCCCTTAGATCTCGGAAAGTTACCGGCCGATTTTCAAAATTCAAACGGCTTTGGATAGCGCTAACAGGGAACTACCTTGTGACCTAATTTCATTGACCTCGGCCTAACCGATGACGTCACAGGTCAGGTCAAAGTTCGAATTTTCACCGTTTACAGGCATTTCAAGAAATGTGTTGTAAAAACGAGTAAAAAGGAGCACCATTGAAAATCATCGATTGGGCATTGTCCGTCAAACACATCTTTTGCTATTTGAGGTCACTGATACCAGGTCAGATCATAGAGGTCAGGTCACTGAGCATAGGCGGCGGAACGGGGAGGGCACCGGGGCACCGTGCCCCCCTTTGATTTTGGCATTTTAACATTAGCCCTATGGGCGTTGCATGGAAAGAATGGGACCAAAAGTCGGCAGTGCCCTCCCTTAATTGAAGGTGTTACGCCGCTACTGTCACTGAGGTTCACAATAAAAGTGTCGTGTGATACATGTTTTATGGTCCATTTTACATGACAAATGCGATTATGTGGGTTAGGCGACATTTGGGGCCAGTTTAGGTTACGTTCTGGTGAAGGCCAGGTCAAGGTCAGGTCAAATTAGGTGAAAGTTGATATTTTTTTAGTTTTTACATAAAATGGGTATCGATTCGATGCAGCTTGTCGCGGGGAGTCTAATGGTGGTCTTTGTTTTGCGAGACCAGTATCCCACCTTAACATTATATTTGAGAGATAGCGAAGTTAACCCAGCAGGCGGTGGGCCTCCAGGCCACCTTCCACGCGGTGGGGGGACTTTATTGCCCCCTTAACGTTTTCCCAAAAATCTTCTAAATGTCTGGGTGTATCAAAACAAAACTTTTGCACACAACAGGATGCAAAAGTTTGCACACAACAGGAAACTTTTGCACACCTAGGGTAATGTGTACACAATTTTGGAAGTATCAAATGTCAGGTTAGATCACGGCAATGTCAGAAGTCAGATTTAAGGATCGTGATTTACCATAAGTGTAATGGGTTGCCAGATAAAGCTTAGATGTTCCTTGGCATAAAAGTAGAGACAATTTGTACTAAAATACAGTTATGCAGAGATATATGCGTAATAATAAGTGTTGACTTGACCTGACCTGACCTGGCCTGCCCTCTACAGTAACTTTGTTAAATAGGTCGTCATGGGTATCGTTGGAACGAAGGAAAACTGAAGGGAAATACGATGATGGGCTTAGGGATTTTATGTCATTCAGACATCTTAGTCATAATAATGGTTGACTTGACCTGACCTTATCTGGCCTGAAAGGATACCATTTTGGTATTATACTTAAGTAGTACACCAGTCAAAACTAAAAAACTCTTATGAAAAAAAAAAAAAATTCAACTAGTAGGTTAGCGTCTAGGGTACACAATATTAACCCGCGACCTGGTGGGGGGGGGGGGGGGGGCTATTTTTTGCCCCCTCCAGACTTTTCGATATATCTCCAGAACCGCTGCGCCGATCGTCACCAAACTTTCAGTACCCTCCCGGACATCAATTTTACACATTGTGACCAAAAATTTTTCCAAAGGCTATGATAGGTTGGCCGGAAATGACGTCAGAGTAACATCATGTTCTGCCGTTTTCGAACCAAAAAAGGTTTCGCGGGAAGAGCTGTCAGGCCTATAGCTTTGCAAATACAGAAAAATGATAAACATAAAAAAGCATAAAACATAAATAAACATAAATGACATAAAAGCTGTAGAATTGACAGGGCTACAAAACTGCCATCTCGGATTTTTAAAATTTTTGGATTTTGATCCCAAAAATCAAAAAAAAAATTTTTGGATTTAATAGTC